CCCAGGGACCTTTCTTCCATGTTGGTGCAGGAAGTCAGCAGCTGAGTTCAGGCAATGCCTTCTCTCGCTGAAAGTGGAGATGACCGTAATTATAGTTAACATTTCTGAGCAGGCACTTTGTGCTGGGTTCAGTTCAAGACACTTTTCCTGGGTTAACTCAATCTCACAGTGTCTTGTAAGGTGTCTTACAAAGTAGATGTGTTATTCTCCCCATTATACAGATGAAGAAACTGAGCAGATTGGTTCAGAGTCTCTTACCTAGAACTGTTACTTGTTGTATTGAGATTATCAAAGGTGAGTGTACTGAGAATACCAAGGAGAGAATACTGAGAACCAAAGATGATACTGGGTGTGTGTGTGTGTGTGTGTGTGTGTGTGTGTGTGTGATGAGGTGTATTTAACATTTTGGGGTTAGGAAGAAGAAGATAAATCAGAGAAAGGACATGTTTTCTGCAGGTCCACATTTCTTTACCTTCTGGAATTCAGTGAATTCTGCATTCTATTAGCATGTTAACACAGGTATAGTCAAGCTAAGCTGGATCTATCAGGGAAATTAAAGTGACAAAGGAAACAGTATCTAATTGACAAAGGAAACAGTATCTAATTGCATTCAACTTATAACTTAACTACAAGTGGCCAGTTGATTCTCTCCTGGTCCTGAAATTGTCCCAGAGACCTTGCACATTCTGACTAACTGCATTTTCAAAATTGTGTTCGCACATCATTAGCACAGAAAACCTCTCCCTTTGGTAGTAATTTGAAGTCTCCTGTCAAAACAACTGGAGCCTTATCACAATGTGTCATTAGTTCACATTCATACTGCGTGACCCTCCCGTCTTCAAGGCGGTGAAAACAGGCTTTGAATTTGCCTCTTGCCTCCCTCATTTTAGTGTGGGAGCTCATTTGAGCATTTATTGCCCAGCTCAAATGCCAAGAAAACTGTTGCCCACAGCTGTTGCATGCTTTAGGCTACAGCTGGCCACTTGCGCATACATTCATTTCTGGGAAACTGCCAGTGGAATGGAGGCTGGTGAGTGCCCGGAAAATCTGGCTTCAGAGAATTTGTCCTGGGAGAACAGGATTGAAGAGCCTCTCTACCCTGTGAATGTTGGTTCATGATCGGAAGTCTCTTCAATGGAGTGGTTCTAACATGGAGAGTTTATTTTGAGCTGTTTTCTGGAAATCTCTGCTAGATCATGAACCATGTTTAGAATTATTTCTCTGTCTAGCCAGGATCTTACCATAGCATTTGACTCTAAGAGGGAAGATACCTTGACATTGCTACAAACACTGCTGAGGCTCCCTTGGGACCATTCCGTGGTGTCAGTCTTCTGTATTCCTCGCTGCTGGGAAGACTGAGGAGGTTTATAGGTGCCTCTGGGTGGGGGGAGAATCGGGTTTCTCAGGTGGGTAGGAGGAGGAGCCCCTCTGAAAGATGACCACTAAGTAAGTTTGCAACACAATGAAGGAAAGAAAGAACAGTGTTGAGTAGCACCTCTAGCTGGGTCATTGCCATTTCTAGCCTTGCTGGAGAATGGACTTCTGGGAATTTGGGACATCCCAAGCTTCATGACTTAATAGGGGCTGGGGCTGGGCAACCCGCATCTGTTTCTCAATGGGCTGGGTCACATATCAGTGGGGGCATGTGTACCACTGAGCCTGAATAACCACCTAGGAGACAAGGTGGAGTTGTCTTGGATCACAGATGACAAGAGCATTCCCCGGTGATGACACGGAGCTGTGTGCTTCCAAAGTATGCACGCTCAGCTGGGGCCTGCAGGTCTTTTGCCTGGAGTAATCACTTCCTTGCTCGGTTTAGTGGCTGTCCCAGAGTTGAACACACATAGTCTGGGCCATGGCCAGGCTGCAACGTCAGTTGACATGAGCAGATGTTCAGGTCCCATAAAGAGGTGAGTGTCCATTGAGGCCTTAGCTCTTAGAGACAGATGTGAGGGCATTCTGTAAAGGGACGGATGGTTGCGGGAATGCAGTGAGCTCTTAGGACACGTGCTCTTGAGAGCTGGTCTGTCGGGTCTCTGCCTCTCTCTTCGTTACCCTCTTTTCATCTCCTTCTTCCCCTTTCTTCCACTTTCAGGTTTTAGCTTTTTGCCAGGCAGGTCAAGGCAACTGGATAAACAATTACTGAGCTTTTTCTGAAAGAAGCTAGAAGAGCCATTGTTGGTAAGAAAAGCGGGGAGGCATGGGATTGATTTTTTTTTTTTTTTTGGAGGCAGGGTCATGCTGTGTTGCCCAGGCTGGAGTGCAGTGGTGCAATCCTGGCTCACTGCAACCTCTGACTCCTGGACTCAAGTGATCCTCAGGCTGCCTCAGCCTCCCGAATAGCTGGGACTACAGGTGCACACCACCATGCCTGGCTGATTTTTTGTATTTTTAGTAGAGACGGGGTTTCACCTTGTTGCCAGGCTGGTCTCAAACTCCTGATCTCAGGTGATCCACCTGCTTCAGCCTCCCAAAGTGCTGGGATTATAGGCATGAGCCACCACCCCCTGCTGGGATTGAATATTTAGACAGAATCTGAGCAGGCGCTACCTGCAGCTGAGCATGAGGTCGCTATACAATAATGGAAAGCAGATTTGGAAGGATAGGTTTCAACCTCCCATCTGCCACCAACCAGACTTGTGATTTTCTGAGCTGCAGGCTGTTAATCAATGAGATGGCTTTGCCAAGTCCCAAGCTCTTCTGGAGCTCTGGGAATTACAAGATGCCTGGGATCATTTCTCTTACTGAAGTCTCTCTTATGGAATAGGGATGTTACCTGTGTAGCTACATTTCCTTGTCTTGTAGAGAAGCATTTCACCTCTTTTCATTTTAGAGAAGAATACTTAGTAGCTGATTTTTTTCATGCATACCAAACCTTTTTCTGAGAAAGACTGAGACATGAAAATAAATCCAAAAGTTTGGAAAATTCACGGTCTCATCTTGTGTAACTCAGTGGTAATCCTAAATAATCAACAAGAGTCAGATTTTCTTTTTGTCTTTTATCAAGAGAGAAGCATATGGTCAGTGTCTCTGCCTGGGAGAAATGTGAGTTGGTAACAGTGTTTTCCTGTTTGTGGAGAGGATTTTTACCAATCAGCTCTAGGTCTTTCATGATCACCCATGAATGTTAATAAGCAGGAGGGCAGATAGCAAAGCTGTGGAAACAGTAGTTACAGGGGTCTGCATCTGAGCTGCATTTGTGGTTTCTTTCTTTCCCTTAAGTCCCTCTAATTCCCAGGGCTCTAAACTCCATTTGTCAAGGAGTCGATCCCTAGAAGCTCACTCAGCTATTTCCTGCTGCCGTTCTACTCCCACCACCCCTTTTTTTTCCTTGTCTTGCTATACACCTCTTTTAGCTGCTCACTTAGTATTTCTTCACGATGAAGGTAAACTTTGACCGATTCTTAGAACTGGGCTGGGCATGGTGGCTCACGCCTGTAATCCCAGCACTTTGGGAGGCTGAGGCAGGCGGATCACAAGGTCAGGAGATCAAGACCAGCCTGGCCAACATGGTGAAACCCCATCTCTACTAAAAATACAGAAATTAGCTGAGTGTGGTGGCTCCATGTGGCTCCCAGCTACTCGGGAGGCTGAGGCAGGAGAATCACTTAAAACTGGAACTCGGAGGTTATAGTGAGCCGAGATCGTGCCACTGCACTCCAGCCTGGTAACAGAGTGAGGCTCCATCGCAAAAGAAAAAAAAAAAAAGAATTAAGTAAGGATCGTGGAGATCCGGGCACAGTGCCTGTCTGGGGTCCTGTGTAGGACAGTATTCATTTGTGACATGACTCATACTGTTCCCATTTCCTCTCAGCAAAGATAGGAGCCCAGAGCATTCATTTGTATGGTAATTCAGACTATCTGGTTAGTTTCTACATGTATGAACCAGAATTAGCCATTTGTGAGCCTAAAGACCCCCACATTGGTGAAACCTCCAAACCGCATGTTACTTTGGCATCTTCTATATTGGATTCAGGTAGCATTCTCTTGCTTGGAGAACAATCAGGTTCCTTTCTTAGGCATAAGATTGTTGAGCTGTCCTATCCAATACTGCAGTCGGGATCCCTCCTTGATTACTACCATTATTTAATTATTGTTTATGGAAATGCCTGTAGGCTTTAGAGCCATTAAGATACTGATTTAAGAACAGACTTGTCTGTCTCGGATATGTTCAACTGAGAGCAGAAGCAGTTTTGGAAGTTCCCAATGTTTTTAAACTGGGAATTGATACCCCCAGTATCTTGGCAGTTGCCCCTAGCTATCACTTGGCCCAGGGGCAGCAAGTAGCCTGCCCAGGGCTCCTAGCATCCTGGCTTTGAAAGGGCAAGGTAATTGGAGAGCTCGATGGAGCTGTGGGCCCCACAGACTGACTTAGCAGAATGCAGAGAGTGAGAGGCTGCTTGTTTTCAAGAAGCGAGGCTGATTAGAGGATGAGGATTCTTGCCTGCTCCTGGAACGAGGGGCCTTGCTGGGTGAGTGGGTGAGGCAGTACCCTAGCTATCTTTTCCGTCACCCCATTATAAATGAGACTCCTAAGCAGGCCTTTTATTTATTGATTTTTAAAGGTATCAGCTGTAAAGACCTGGTTATTCACTGTCACCCCCTACGTCTGGAACAATTAACTCATCTGCCTGCAGAATTTCCCGGGGTTCAGGGCAGGCTGATGAGGCTGAGGGTGCTGGCCTCTCAGCATGGCAGCGGAAGAATCTCAGTCACTGATTTGCCAGTTCATTAATTATCTTAGAAAAATGACGAGCTCTTTGAAGTATTCCTTATTTATTTTATATTTCCTGAATATTCCAAATCGTTTGCTCTCACGAAGGGCGGGTAAAGGTTTTCTGAGCAGCTCTGCTGGGTCTGTGCGGATCCAGGAGCCATGGGGAGTGGCTTTGCCCTGTGAGTCTCCTGGGGCTGCAGAGCCCTGGCTGGACTCACAGGAGCTCTTGGGCTCCTTATCCACGTGACGTTTGTCTTCTTTGCTCTCCCCTTCTGCTCCCAAGGATGTTAATGCAGGCGAGGGCAGTGAGTTCGCAGACAGTGGGATTGAAGGGGCCACCACCGACACGGACCTCCTGTCCCGGCGATCCAATGCCACCAACTCCAGCTACTCACCCACCACCGGCCGGGCCTTTGTGGGCAGCGACAGTGGCAGCAGCTCCACCGGGGATGCGGCTCGCCAGGGGGTGTATGAGAACTTTCGGCGGGAGCTGGAGATGAGCACCACCAACAGCGAGAGCCTGGAGGAGGCCGGCTCCGCCCACAGTGATGAGCAGAGCAGCGGCACCCTGAGCTCCCCGGGCCAGTCGGACATCCTGCTGACCGCCGCGCAGGGCACGGTGCGCAAGGCAGGTGCCCTGGCCGTCAAGAACTTCCTGGTACACAAGAAAAACAAGAAGGTGGAGTCAGCCACCCGGAGGAAGTGGAAGCACTACTGGGTGTCCCTGAAAGGTGAGGCTGGGAGGGCCCTGGCTGTGTGCCAAGTGCACCACAGATGTGCTCCGTCGTCCACATACTCATGGGACGGGTGGGTTTTTTGTGGTTGTTGTTATTATATAGAATTTGCAATTCATTCTAATTTTGAAATTTTATTTTATCATGGTAAGAGCACTTCACATGAAATCTACCCTCTTCACACTTTTTAAAATGTGCAGTACAGTATTATAGACCACAAGTGCCATGTTGCAAGGCAGATTTCTAGAACCTAGTTGGGCTGGGCATAGTGGCTCATGCCTGTAATCCCAGCATATTGGGAGGCAGAAGTGGGAGGTCCACGTGAGCCTAGGAGTTCAGGAACAGCCTGAGCAACAGAGCAAGACGCCAGCTCCAATTAATTAATTAATTTATAAACTAGAACCTATTCAAGTGACTTAAGTGAAACTTTATGTCCCTTGATTAGTAACTGTCCCATCTCCACCCCTGCGAGTGATGTTATTTTGTTTTTTCACAGTTACGCTAGAGGAGTGTCTCATGTCTAGTTTCGGCGTATATGCAACTGGTTGTGACAACAGTTTAGAAGGATGAGTTTAAAAAAATAGTCTTTTTGGAATCGTTCAGCTTTGTGTCTTTCAAAGTGACAATTTTGAAGGGAAATTTATTAGCTTGAATTCTATGAAATTGCCATTTTTTAAGGTAACAAATTGGTAGGATAATGTTAATTTCATAGGATTCAACCTGATGTTAATGGAATGCATAGACCATCATGTTTAGGAAAAAGTCAGTTACTATTTGATAGGCACATTTTGCATATTTGACTGTGTGTAGGTATAGATACATGCATGTGTAGATCACTATATTTTCTGTTCATATGACCATACTTTTGTATGTTGCTATTTGTTGTCATTTTCCACATTTTTGTGAAGTGCATGTATGTAGTGTTGCACGTATCTGCATGTGTCCTGTTAGCGTAGAAAATGTAATATATTTGTGAGCTCTCTATATACATATTTTTTTGAGATGGAGTCTCACTGTGTCACTCAGGCTGGAGTGCAGTGGTGCGATCTCAGCTCACTGCAACCTCCACCTCTTGGGTTCAAGTGATTCTCCTGCCTCAGCCTCCCAAGTAGCTGGGACTACAGGCATACGCCACCACACCCATCTAATTTTGTATATATTTTTTTTAAGTAGAGATAGCGTTTCACCATGTTGTCCAAGATGATCTCTATCTCCTGACCTTGTGATCCACCCACCTCAGCCTCCCAGAGTTCTGGGATTATAGGCATGAGCCACCACCCTGGCTGAGCTCTGTATTTAAATAGAAAAACACTTCTCAAGCACGCAGAGTTTTCATCACAAGCTAGACTTGAAACAGGGTTAATACATGGCATCCTGAGTTGGATAGGTTAACAGGATTGATGGAAGGGCATGGGATGAAGAAGCTTGGGCTTACCAGTATCAAACTAGACCATTTGATACTGGATTTCACAGACTCTGGCCGCTTGGAGAACATCCAATCCTAGAGACGTGGAGCAGCCCAGAGCTCTGCTCAGTGAGGTGAAGACATGACTGTGTGGTGATGGGCAGGTGCAGGTCAACCCTTGCACAGGTAGGGTTGGTTTGGCCCCATTATTCTTGGTGCCAGCTGTTGCTCAGATGCCTGATCACACAGGAAGGGAGGATGTTGGTTAGGATATAGGTTTTGCGGTATGTGCCAGAGATCTGCAATGCCAACGCCAAAGCCGTAAGCAAGGAAGAACTTTACTTCCCTCCCACTTATCGGAAATAGACGATCTAAGGCTTGTGTGATAACTCTTTTCCTACGAATTCACTCAGGGACCCTGGCTCCTTCTGAAGTTTTGTTTCTCAGCTATTCCTAGAGCATTACCTGGGTCTGTCTCTGTCTTCCAGGCTGGAGTGCAGTGGCACAATTATAGCTTACTGCCGCTACAAATGCCTCGGCTCAAGTGATCCTCCTGCTTCAGCCTCCCACGTAGCTGGGACTACAGGCATGTGCCACCATGCCTGGCTAATGTTTTTATCTTTTGTTGAGACAGGGTCTTGCTATATTGCCCAGGCTGATCTCCAGCTTTGGGCCTCAAGCGATCCTCCCACTTTGGCCTTGGGATTACAGGTGTCGAGGTACCCGGTCTCCTGGAACATTATCTTTTGATGATTATTTGCTGTAGTGGTCTTGCCTGTGAAACATAGATGTGCATCCTGTGGAAGCATTTTGGAGAACTTCAGTGTTCTTTCTCATGTGTGACCTGCCTTGGCTTTATTTGGAGGTGCTACAGGGTTATGTCTGAGGGGCCTGGATCATCACACCTGCTGCTCTGCTCTGAGGGAGTGAGAGGAGAAGAGGGGAAAAGCTTCTTCTTTTTCCACTTCCCGCTCCTCCCCTAGATGGGTACACCACTGAACACTGCGGCCTCTTATCCTTAGCAGCCCATCTTAGCAATTTTTTGTTAATTAGTGCCAAGTTCTTAATAGCTTGATTCGAAGATCACCTGCATCACAGCCTCTCGAGGGTCTTTCTGGGTTGTACCCCACATTTGCTGAATCACAAGGTTTGGAGATGGGACCCTGGATGAGTTTATTGGGGCTGCCATAGCAAAGCACCACAGACTGGATGGTGGAAATAACAGAAATGTATCATCTCCCAGTCCTGGAGGCTGGAAGTCCAAGATCAAGGTGTCAGCAGGGTCGGTTTCCTCTGAGACTACTCTCGCTGACTTGGAGATGGCCGTCTTCTACTGTCTTCACATGGTCTTCCCTTTACTTGTCTGTGTTCAAATTCCTTCTGCTTATAAGCGCACTGTTCATAGTGGGTCAAGGCCCACCCTGTGTCCTCATATTATCTTAATTACCTCTTTAAAGGCTCTATTTCCAAATATGATCCTATTCTGAGCTAACTGGGTTTAGGATATTTGGAGGACACAATTCAGTCTGTAGCAGGCCCTTACTCTCAAGTTGAGAGCAGCAATGTTAGTGCCATAAAATAAAGATAATTAGGGCCAGGGGCAGTGGCTCATGCCTATAATCCCAACCCCTTGGGAGGCTGGAGCGGGCGAATCACAAGGTCAAGAGATCGAGACCATCCTGGACAACATGGTGAAACCTAGTCTCTACTAAAAATACAAAAATTAGCTGGATGTGGTGGCACGCACCTGTAGTCCCAGCTACTCGGGTGGCTGAGGCACAAGAATCTCTTGAACCTGTGAGGCGGAGGTTGCAGTGAGCCGAGATTGCACTGCTACACTCCAGCCTGACAACAGAGCGAAACTCTGTCTCCAAAAAAAAAGATACTTAGTTGACTTTTTTTACTTGGGACATATCAGAGGTGTTAATTTTGTTTCTGCCATTCCCTAGGAGAGTAAATGATACAGGAAGCCAGGGTGCAGGTACCTAGGTGCACAGCCCACAGGCCCTTCAGGGAAGGGAGTTTTCTTGGTGATGGAGATCTGAGTGACACATCTGTCAGAATTCAGGCCCAGAACATGGAGCCACTGAGTTCTTTGCTTCATCCTGTTGGGTTCCCTGTGTTTACTGACATCCTCGGGGCTTTGTCCTTGCTGCTCAAAAGCAAGACTTGCAGCTGACTTTTTCTTAGCAACACTTGATGACTGAGAAATAAAGAGCAGAACACCTGGGAACTGTGGAATACAGATTCCTCCCCCCTCCAAATTCTTTCCTATTAGACAAAGTAACTGATTTTTTTTAGAAAAGATTTCATTTGGAATTAGTCTCTGGAGTGTTTCCATGGACAGCGGAAGAGTGTACAGATTATGTTCCAGGGAAGATGAAGGTAAACAGACTTTCATCAGGGTGTACGTGGTTCTTGGATTTACTGCTTTGCATTCATCTTAAAATTGGGACAAGTTGATAATTGAGTAAAAGCTGATTTTAATCACCTTTTGTGGTGCTTTGTTATGGATGAATCTACATCAAATTTGAAAAAGTATAAAAACAATTACCTGGTAGGACCATACAACATCCAACAGGTGCACATTTTAGGATTTGTGAGTGTCCCCTAATTTATCACCCACAGGCTTCTTTCTATGTTCTAAAACTGTGCTAAGGTGTGTTGCTTTTTTTAGGTTTGGAATCTACTTTTCATCAGTGTTGAATTAGTCATAAAGATTATTTAGAGTAGGATTTCTCGACAGGGACACCGTTGACATTTTCTGGATAATTCTTTTGTGGAGGGCTTAAGCTCTGTCCACTAGATGCCAATAGCACCTTCCACCAAGTTGTGACAACCAGAAAGGTCACCAGACACTGCCAAGTTTGCCCCATCGTGAGAACCTCTGATTTAGAGAAAACCAGTTTCCCCTCCCAGTTTGGTTATTTCTTTTTATCTCTAATCTGTTCTAGCCTAAGGCACGGAAGTAGGAGGTACAAACGATTCTACTTTTTGATAGAAGTGTTCCTGAAAAGGCTTGAGATCCTCAAAATCTTGGGGATTTGGGGAAAAATAGAGTTGGGGCAGACTACTCTATAGGTATGTGTCTAAGTCCTATAATGCAACTTTTAAACCCCAAAGTAAAAAAAAAAAAATTAAAGAGAGCTTGGTGTGGTGGCTCACTCCTGTAATCCCAGCACTTTAGGAGGCTGAGGCAGGAGGATCACTTGAGGCTAGGAATTTGAGACCAGCCTGGATAACATAGTGAGGCCTTGTCTTTACAAAAAAATACGCAAATTAGCCAGGTATGGTGGTGTATGCTTGTAGTTCCAGCTACTCGAGAGGCTGAGACAGGAGGTTCACTTGAGCCCAGTTCAAGGCTACAGTGAGCAATGATTGTGCCACTGTACTCCAGCCTAGGTGGCGGTGGGACCCCATATCTACAAAAATAATTGTAATAAAAAGAAAAGTAACCGCAGAACTCTACTAAAATTTTCTAACAATAAGCAACATAAAACTTGTATTTTTATTTTTTTGTGACAGGGTCTTGCTCTGTTGCCCAGGCTGGAGTGCAGTGGCATAATCATGGCTCACTGCAGCCTCAACCTCCTGAGCTCAAACAATCCTCCCAGCTCAGCCTCCTGAGTAGCTGGGATCACAGGCATGCACAGCTAACTGTTTTTATTTTTAGGAGAGTTGAAGCCTCACTATATTGCCCAGGCTGGTGTTAAACTCCTGGGCTCAAGTAATCCTTCCACCTTGGCCTCCCAAAGTGCTGGGATTACAGACATAAGCCACAGTGACTGGCAAACTTTATATTTCAAAATAGCATTAGCATGGGGCTTTACCTTTGAAAAAAAGAAGCAACTGTAACTTGAATGAGTAGAAGCAGTAATTATTCAGACAAGGATGACAAGTGTGAAATCCTGATGCTCGGGAGCACCGTGCAATAAGGACTTGTAGGCAGAGACGGGGGGGTCAAGCTGTGCTAAGAGAGAAACGTGAAATGAGTACGGAGGGCATACCAGCGTGCTGCATGCCTCTGTGTGGAGGGACATGGAGTTCAACAGCGGTTCTCTGGAAATGTGAAATATTACAGGCTAGGAAAAGTTGCCCTTGAACCAGTGGGACCTTTCCATTGATCTGCATCATTCTATATTATTAATTGCATATGAGCAAATTTGCTTTACAGAGTCCCGTTATAGCTGAGTAGACTGAACGTTCAAGGGCTGTGCAGTTTACAGGAAGTGTGGCACTTGTCTTTGGTAAGGAAGATGGTGAAAATGGACTGATAGCTTATGTTGAAGTTGAGGAACAGTCCACCCTGGCTTTCCCTGAAATTGGTTTCAGTTGGTTGAGAGTAAGTGTTCAGCTAGTAATTGCTTTTAAAGTGAGCCTTGGCCGGGTGCGGTGGCTCATGCCTGTAATCCCAGCACTTTGGGGGGCCGAGGCGGGCGGATCATTAGGTCAAGAGATCGAGACCATCCTTGACAACATGGTGAAACCCCGTCTCTACTAAAAAATATAACAATTAGCCAGGTATGGTGGCGCCCACCTGTAGTCCCAGGTACTTGGGAGACTGAGGCAGGAATATTGCTTGAACCTGGGAGGCGGAGGTTGCAGTGATCCGAGATTGTGTCACTGCATTCCAGGCTGGCAACAAACCGGGACTCCATGTCAAAAAAAAAAGTGAGCCTCAAGTTTAGGTGATAATGGAGGGCATCTATGGAAGCCATCTTACCACAAGTCTTTGAAATATTCTGTTGCTACTGTCTTGTTAGTTTCACAGTGCACCTATATATGGACCGGGACTCTGGCTTCTCCCAGGGCTTTGTATGTGTGCCATCTATTTCCTCCTTCAGTAGGAGCAAAGGCATGATTGGCTTCTAGAAAAAAAATTTACAGTTGCCGGGCACGGTGGCTCAAGCCTGTAATCCCAGCACTTTGGGAGGCCGAGGCGGGTGGATCACGAGGTCAAGAGATTGAGACCATCCTGGTCAACACGGTGAAACCCCGTCTCTACTAAAACTACAAAAAATTAGCTGGGCATGGTGGTGCGTGCCTGTAATCCCAGCTACTCAGGAGGTTGAGGCAGGAGAATTGCCTGAACCCGGGAGGCGGAGGTTGCGGTGAGCCGAGATCGTGCCATTGCACTCCAGCCTGGGTAACAAGAGTGAAACTCCGTCTCAAAAAAAAAAAAAAAAAAAAAAAAAAAAAAAAAAAAAAAAAAAAAACAAAAAAAAAAAAAAAAAAAAAAAAAATTTGCAGTTAAGATATGAGACCAACAATGTATGTTGGTCTTCTTATCCTTAAAGCACTTAATGCCAGTATTATATATTGTTTTCTCCAAGGGCATGATCTGAAACTAAGTACATTTCCCAGAGTTTTCTGGTTGTATATCATGTGAGACATTGGAATGGGCTTCGACTGGACAGTGGTGACTTCCAGTCCTCACATAGTGCCAGGCACAGTTCTGACCTGGAGGACCATGTTGGTATTCACCTTGGGACAAAGTCACAAGACCCTATGTCTGTGAAGAGCCCTGTCATGAATCATTCTAAAACCCAAAGGAAGGGTTTGAGAGAACCTGAGGGCATGCAGGAAGGAATCCCAGGCAGGCTGAGAAGCTACAATTTAAGATCTTTGTTCTTTTTTTTTTTTTGAGACAGAGTCTCGCTCTGTTGCCCAGGCTGGAGTGCAGTGGTGCAATCTTGGCTCACTGCAACCTCTGCCTCCCTGGTTCAAGTGATTCTCCTGCCTCAGTCTTCCAAGTAGCTAGGACTACCCGTACCACCATGCCTGTCTAATTTTTGGTATTTTCAGTAGAGATGGGGTTTCTCTGTGTTAGCCAGGACGATCTCGATCTCCTGACCTCCTGATCCACCCTCCTCGGTCTCCCAAAGTGCTGGGATTACAGGTGTGAGCCACCGTGCCCAGCCAATCTTTGTTTTTCTTCAGGCCCATCCAAGACTTGAGTCCAAGCATGATCCCATTCTCTTTGCTTCCTGGGTTCCACGTGCTTTAATTTTTCAGCCTCTGACATGGTGCAAGTGTTAGATTCCGCTATGGGTTCTTTTGTTTCCCAGGCACTAAATACTCATGCAGACCTCTGTTCTGTTTCCTCAGGATGCACGCTATTTTTCTACGAGAGCGACGGCAGGTCTGGGATCGACCACAACAGCATCCCCAAACACGCTGTCTGGGTGGAGAACAGCATTGTGCAGGCAGTGCCCGAGCACCCCAAGAAGGACTTTGTCTTCTGCCTCAGCAATTCCCTGGGCGATGCCTTCCTTTTTCAGGTTTGTTGGGCACTTCCTTTGCAGGGCATTTCAAACCTTTCAACTGGGTACCTTCTTTTCTTGCCTAGGTGCCCAATCCTCCACTGCTTTTTTTGTAGTAGTGAGATTAATCTGTTGCTCATTATGAAAACAAAAACAGTGAATGACAAAATAGACATCTATATGATATTCTAAGAATAGGTATATTCAGAGATCTTCCAGGTGAAGGCTAAGGAGGGCTACGGGTTGGGTGTGAGAAACTCGCTCTGTTTGTCATGAGTTGAAGGATATTTTATTGTGGTCCCAGTACCATTTCTGTTGCATGTAAGAAAGGGATCATGAATTCCTTATTTTAGATATGATTTGAGCTGTCAAAAATTTTTATTATGTTCTTTTCTAATATTAATCATAAAGTAAAATAATGACATCTCAGAAATGACTGGCATCACCTAAACAGTTTTTCTCCCTCATCTGATCAGAACTTTCTACTCATCATCCTTGATTTTCAGCATTCTTTAAAAAAATATTTCTGGTTGTGGGCGGTGGCTCATGCCCGTAATCCCGGAACTTTGGGAGGCTGAGGTGGGTGAATCACCTGAGGTCTGGAGTTTGAGATCAGCCTGACCAATACGGTGAAACCCCATCTCTACTGAAAATACAAAAATTAGCCAGGCATGGCAGTGGGCACCTGTATTCCCAGCTACTCAGGAGGCGGAGGCAGGAGAACTGCTTGAATCTAGGAGGTGGAAGCTGCAGTGAGCTGAGATTGTGCCATTGCACTTCAGCCTGGACAACAGGAGTGAAACTCCATCTAAACAAACAAACAAAAAAAACCAAAACTTCTCGACTAACTGCCTCAGGATTAACATTTTCTTTGATTGGGAATCTTTTGAATTTGGATAATTGTAAAATACTCTGCAAGAACTATTTTTGAGGTGTTATTTAGGAAGCCTTTCTTTATTTGTTCTGTTGAAGACTTAATTTCTCAAGCCTTTATTCTGTGCTTCCTGTGTGCTTTGCATAGCCCTATTGAGAGTACCAAGAAGATTTTGACAGTACATCTTTTTTTTTTTTTTTTTTTTT